GTTGTTTGCAGATAAATTGTTGTTCATATACATAATCGTGTGTGTTTAATTCATGGTTGAATCATGTATATATTGTTGTTTGCAAATAAATTGACATATATATGAGTTACATGTAAATATACAAAACCTGCACAGCAGCTGTGCATGCTGGGTGACCTGCAACTTCACGGGATTTCAAGTCCCGTGAAGTTGCAGTGCCAAATTTCCAGAGACTCGATCTCTGGCAAATTGTGGACTGCAACTTCACGGGAGTTGAACTCCCGTGAAGCTGCAGTCACAATTTCCAGAGATCGATTCTCTGGATTTGTTGACTGCAACTCCACGGTAGTTGAACTCCCGTGGAGTTTTAAGCAAAAATTAAGCTTCACGGTAGTTGAACTCCCGTGAAGTTTAATTTATCCATAAACTTCACGGGAGTTGAACTCCCGTGATGTTTCGGAGAATTTTTTACAAAAACCGACCTGTTTTCAGCGCTGGGCTGAAAACAGGTCGGTTTTTACAATTATTATGAAAAGGGGTCGGTTTTTACAATTAAATGGCTGAAAGGGTTGGTTTTGAAAATTTGTCCCAAAAACTAATCTCGTCAAATGGGCGGCCAGATGAAATCAGCGGCGCAGAATACAGGCGCAGCGAAGCAGTACCCCGTTAAACGCCGTCTAAACTCGAACAACGGACTGTTAACAGTGGGGCCCTCACCTGAGCGGGCAAAATTGTTCCTCCTCCTCCTCCTCCTCGTCTGATCTCTCCCAAAATCTCGACCGGATCGCTGTTCTCTCTCGCGGTCTCGAGCTCTAGGGCTCGAATCGATACTCACCGATCCAAGGTCAGCTTCGTTTTTTAACCCTAGGGTTTTGATTTCTTCATATGCTAATTTTCTATTGTTCGATTTTTATTAGGAGGAAGAAATTAAATTGGACTTGATTAATGTGAGTTGTGGTAGGAATCAATGTAATATTTTTGTTCCTTTTTTGTGTCTGCAGGTGATATTGTCAAAAGCGAGGACTTGGATTGATACTTGAATTTGAGAGCATGGTATGCTCGCCTATGGACACTGATGCCATTCCTTTTTAATGCATTTTTTGGGTGTAATTTCATGTTGTCGATGCTTGGATGACCTAATAAATTTCTCTCATTTGTGCTCAACGCTGATGTTGCATTTTGTGTATATAAAGTCTTTGTGCCTAATGTTCTTGAATCTTGGTGCATCAACGCCATTTGTTTCATGAATAGGGTGCGAATCACTTGTTGTATAGTAGCAACATGTGCGTGTTTTAGATTATATTTTCTAACTTCACGCTTCAATGATTTCAGAATTACCTTATTGGAGCATTCAAGTACCCATGTAATGTTACTGTAAAATTTGCTGACGGGAAAACTCGAAATGAGGTAAATAATCACTCGTGGTCCACCATTGTTCTCTTATGCTTAATAGTGTTAGTTGTGCATATCCCATCTTTGTTATTATATTAAGAGAAAATGAGCTGCTTGGTGATTCGACGTGAAATGGTTTCTTTGGACAGTCCGATCTGAGAAAGATCAACAATACTATTTAATGAACTTCAGCTGCTCAAATAATTGCTTTTGAGTTTTGATATTCTTAACCTGGTTAGGAAAAGTAACTACTTGACTTAGGAAAAACAATAATTGTTGAGGTGATTAATATGTGAGTATAGTCCCACATCGGATAAGATAAGAAAGAGTGATGAGTTTAAATAGGAGTTTTGGTCAATACCTGATAGATATAGTTTTTGGGCTAAAATTGATTCCTAACTTCTGTTTAAGATCCATAAACTCTAGATTAGGCCCGATATCTCCCCCAACAAGTTGTATCAGAGCTAAGGTCATGGTCCAAGTAATTTAAAAAAAATAGATGATCTTCGATGTGAAGCCCAAAGGTGTCGGGAGAATCCACGGATGCCAGTAGGAGTGATATAGTCTAGTTAGCCACCATGAGTGAAGTGGTGGAAGTTCCTACGGATGTTTGATAGCTCTGTGCTGAATGCATTGTCTGGTTAGCCCACGAGTGGAGTGATGCAAAAGTTTGTGAATTGGTTAGCCCACGATTGAAGTGGTGCAAAAACTTAGTGAATTCCGTGGAAGATTGAATTATAGTTGAATTGAAATATACTCATAAATTAAGTGAGAGTTGTTGAGGTGATTAATATGTGAGTATAGTCCCACATCAGATAAGATAAGAAAGAGTGATGAGTTTAAATAGGAGTTTGGGTCAATACCTGATAGCTATAGCTTTTGGGTTAAAATTGATTCATTTACTTCTATTTAAGTCCCATCAACTCTAGATTGGGTCTGATTTCTCCCCCAACAATAACAACTCTAACTTAGAAGCTATTCTTGTGGTTTTTAGATTATATTTCCATTCTCTTGTATTCTTACAGGCTTCTATAAAAAAGGAAAATGGCCAGACTGTGATGGTCCCTCTTTTTGAAAATCATGAAACCATAGCTGGGGAGGTAAAGTACATTTCTACTGAAGACATATATGCTAACTATTAATATGTTACGTGTAATTTTCATAGCCAGTACTATCATCAATAATCTGCAGTATAGTTGAAATCTTTTAACTTGTAGGTATCCATAGATCCACTTCATGGTAAAAAGGTGGAGCACGTTGGTGTGAAAATTGAGCTTCTTGGTCAGATAGGTACACTGTAATTTTGACCTTTTATTTTACAGTCTTGCTCACAATTATTTGTTTATATTCAGGCATTTGGCCCTTGTTTTGCTTCACTTATAAATGATTTTCCCTACTGGTATAATTCTTATTTAGCTTTTTGCCGTTATCCTTTATCTTTCCTAGTGGTATTTTGAGTTGTGATCCCCAGTTACATGAGCTTAAACTTTCAATGAAGGTAATTTTCCTGCCACTTAGCATTTTGCTTGATGGGAAGCCCTATTTTGGCACATGCTACCTATGAGCAATTTCTGGGAATGTTATCGATAGTTTTTAGAGCCTTTTTGTCTTCAGAGTTGCACGCTATATCCAGCACCATTTTGGACTGGATTTTGATGATGCCACAAGATGGATTTTCGCCCTGTTTTCAATCTTAAACTGCTATGGTATACTAATCAATTCTCCATGTATTTGCATGTGTGTGTTGATACACCATATTCATGCCATCACAAAGGCATATATAAATAGACACACATATAGCTTGCTATATGTATATTTCTCTTAAATGATTCATTTTGCAAAATATTGATGATAGACCGGAAGATTAATGCTTTGAATTGTTATCTTAAGTCATTTGCTATAGATCAAAGTGGAATCAATTTGTGTTTCAACTATCCCTTGGAATTTACTTATTCATCTCGATAGAGTGCCCTTTGTGTGCTTTGCAGATATAGCACTTGCAATCTGAATGACCTTTCATTTGCTTGACGCTTGACAGTCATCTCTCATGGAATCTTAAGTTACCGATGATTTAATGATGTGTATTTAGTTTATCGGTTTCATCATTGAAATATTTTAATCGCCATTGCAAGTTGTTGATCTGCTTTTGGACATGCCCCTTTGCTCGCACATTTCGAGAAGGCTTTTCGTTTCTATATATATTCTAATTTCTGGAAACATTAAAATTTTGTTGGATGTGTTTGCCTCGCTATTATTTAAAGTTCTAATGTTCATATTGTCCTGTCCCATGATCTCTATTTTCTGCTGCTTCTGCAGCTGCTACATTCCATTTTTTATTCACAAGTATACTTTAATTAGTTTAATAATATGTCATATATATTTTTCCCATTCAGAAGATGTCTGGTTGTAGTTGGAGTCAAATTGGTCTAACGATTCATACTTCGCTATGTTACATGATCTTTGTTATTCCTGTATTCCTGCAGAGCTGTACTTTGACCGAGGACGCTTTTATGATTTCACCTCCTTAGGTGAGTTGACGATTTTCTTTTTTTTTCTTTTTTCTCTATGGAAAATTGATATGCTTATTTTCACCATAGAAGCCTTTCTAAACTATTGACTAAGGGCTGATTTTTTGTTTTTCCTTCCTCGTTGAGTTGATATCTTTATTTTGTTATTGAATGGGCTACAAACAGGTGAGAGGCAGCACACTCTTAGTATTGCTGCCTGCCTAAATCTAGACATGTGTAAGGAAACATGAGGTCTATTGTATGAGTGTTTTAAGGCATTCCTTGCTAATCTTCTAAATCTTAATGAGAAATGTGTAGTTTCTTGTTCTTAGCTATGGTAAGTGATCTTCCACCTACAGTCTGAAAGCTTGCCAGCAAGATGCAAACAAAGTACGATAGCCTATATAATGTGTGGGGTAAGCTTTTTGGTTTTTTTTTTTGGGGGTGGGGGGGGGGGGGGGGGTGGGGGTTGGTTGGTTTGCATGCTGCTTAGTAACTACTTTATAAATAGCAAAAGGGATTGAAAAATAAGGTATTACAATATGCAAACCATTTCTCAAAAAGTAAGATATTACAATATGCAAACCATTTTGTCATAAGTAAGTGTACATGGATGAGTATATATTTTTTTGGAATGTGTTCAAAAGTAATATTGATGGTGCATATTTATAATCTGGCGACCACAGTGGGAGCCGACGATCTCGCCAACGAGATCGATGCGTCGCAGCCGCGGATCTCAATCCCGGTCGTGGAGGAGGTCGATTACGAGTTCGATCAAACCAAGTTCGAGGAATATCTTTCGGCCTCGTCCGGATCTACCTCCCCCCGCAAGTCTAAGAAGTCCAAGTTCTCTTCCAGCAGAAAGGTGCGTTGTTTTTTTTGGGGGTGGGGTGGGGGGTGGGGGTGGGGGTTGGTTGGTTTGCATGCTGCTTAGTAACTACTTTATAAATAGCAAAAGGGATTGAAAAATAAGGTATTACAATATGCAAACCATTTCTCAAAAAGTAAGATATTACAATATGCAAACCATTTTGTCATAAGTAAGTGTACATGGATGAGTATATATTTTTTTGGAATGTGTTCAAAAGTAATATTGATGGTGCATATTTATGTACTTAAAATTATAAATTTATATTATGTTGCATATGGGAAGTATGTAAAATTTTTGCTTGAAGTATTAAATGAGTAAAACCCCAAAAAAATTGGTATAGACTATAGAGACTTTTTTGTTGGTTAATGAGTTGAAAGCGCATGTATTGATGTACATAGAGAGTTTACATGAGAATAATCATTCAAATTAGTTTAAACATAAAATGTCAAATTTCCTTTCACTTCGTTCATGTTTGTATTGGAGGTTATGCAAAATTTCAGCTTGTAGAGTTTATGAGTAACAAAATCCATGCATTGTTGAAAAGGAGTCAATTACATAACTCATTATTTTATTTTTCTTAATTCATGTTCGTATGGGAGGTGAGCGACGAGCGTTATTATGTTATGCATTATTTTTATTTTTAACATTGAACGCATGATTGTTGTACATGGGTTTAAGATACAAACAACTTTTTAGATATGTTTTGAACTATGTTAAATCCTTTTTTTTCCTGTAAGATGCAACATTTGTTGATTTAAATGGAACAGGTCAGCACTCTGAAATATCTTTTAATGCTACTTTACTAAGTTTACTTGGCATTATGGCATTTAATAGCATATGGGAGTTTGGGCACTTGAAGCGTATGTGTCATGTAGTGCTTGGATTTTGTTGTTGTTGTTGTTGAATGAGCAACTAGATTCCACATAAAAAATGCAGACACCCTTCAGGTAGTTGTCATGACAGTACAGTAGATTTTAAAAACTACTTTGTAACCAAAAATTCAGAAATCCAAAAAAAAAACGTTTACTTTTCTTATTGCCTAATCTATGGCATTTCCCCCTCAAGCATCTATTGTCCTTTGCGAAGTATGCCTCACTACTTCCATATGGTTATATGATTTGACTAATTATTTGAAAAGTCATCTATTTCTTATGCAGTTCGTGAGCTGGATGTTCCTGGTGAAATATATGAAAAGAAATCGTATCCATTTGAGTTCTCGACTGTTGAAATGCCATATGAATCATACAATGGGGTTAATGTGAGATTGAGGTAAGTCATAGCTTGCTATTTGTGGCTTGGTTAGTAAGTGGGAATTTGTTTTGTTGACGGGGTTGCAAATTTCTTAATTATTTCAGACTCCTGTAGATCTTTTCTGTCATGAACTGTTTGTGACAAAAGAACTTGTTTCATATGATTGAAAAAATAAACATTGTATAAGGTCTAGATTGAGGAGTCCTTAATTGATGATTTTTTGCACCATTTTCCATCATCCAAGTCTTTTTATGTGATTGGCTATGGAGAAAGACTTGAAATCAAAAAGCTCTGTAAGAGAGTTTAACTAAGTCTTTACAAGTAGTGGTCTATGCATATTATCCTCCTTATGCTGATGCCAATCTATATCTGTGGTCTTCATGAGCGAGTTCCCGTTTTAAATTCCTAAAACCCTGATGGTTGATAGACCGATGTGGTAATGTGGGTACTCCCAACCAAAAAGGAAGTTGCCAAATGGCAGACTGGAAACATTCTAGACTAAGAGGTAAGGTGATAACTTTCTGCTGTAAGCAGTTGCATTTATCTGTAAGGCATAGTTACAAACCCAGCATCTAAATGAAATGTCAAACTCGATTCTTACCTCTAGTTATAAAAAAGATGAATTCATTTAAGGATCTTTAAAGAAATCCAGTTTGTCATTTCTTTGTGTAGCTAATGATTTTTTCCATCAATATAACTTCTCCCTATAAGTACTATATGTTTAGACCAAGAGCAATGGAATGGATAAATATAACATTTGGCTTCAGGTCTTAATAACAAAGCTTTTCTTCCTTCTTATGTAAAAAAGGCATCAAACTGTTACAACAACAACCAAGCCTTTATCCCAAATGGGTCGACTACATGAATTGAATCCTATTTTTCCATTCCATTCTGTTATGGGTCATCTCCTCCGTTAAGTTAGTCTTAAACATATCCTTCTTAATTACTTGTAACCTAGTCATTCTAGGTCTACCTCTACATCTCCTAGCCCCATTAACTCTAATATTATCGCCTTTTCTAATTGGTGCACTAAGGATTCTCCGTTTACATGACCAAACCATCTTACTCTGTTCTCTCTCATTTTATCCTCAATATCTCATTTTATCCTCAATAGGCATCAAACTATTAATATATTTTAATAGCACATCTCAAAAAAGCAGTGAATGCATGAAAAAAATCGTTTGCATAACATAAAGCATTAATTGTCAAGGCATCACAGGTTTCTGTTTCATATATAATTATGACATTTAATATGGCATATTTCCTGTTTGGCATAGTTTCTTTGGGCTGTTTCTTGGCCCTTTCATATAGCCATTTCCTGTTTGCATACTTCCTCATGTACCTTTACAGTTATATCCTTGTATGAGAATGTGCAATGATTAATAGTGAATTTTCTTGTATGCTTGCAGGTATATTCTGAGAGTGACAATCTCCCGCAACTATGTACCGAACATTGTGGTGCAGCAGGATTTCTGGGTATTCCATCTCACCATATTTTTATTTTAAATTGTGCACCCGTTCCTTTCTTTAAGAAGAAGAAGGGAATGGAAAACTTGAGTTTTTCTTTTACCAATTTCCTCCATGAATATTTGACTTGGACCTATGCTACATATGGCACATAACTGACCTTTTAGGATCTCACAGAATCAAATTTCTATCCTTTGATATGAGTTTAAACCTTGATTTGGTTCTGTTCCAATTGATATATGTTTGGTCTAGTTCACCTTTCCTCTCTCCAAGAAGAAGAATAGAATGAAAAATTCAAGTTTTTTTTATCAAGTTTCATAGATGAATATTTGATTTGGACCTATGCTACTTATGGTACATAACCTTTTAGTATCTGACGGGGAATTAAATTTCTATCATTTGATATGGGTTTAAACCTTGATTTGGTTCTGCTCTCGTTGATGTATGTTTGGTCTAGTACATCTTTCCTTTCTCCAAAATGAAGAAGAGAATAGAAATTTTGAGTTATTCTTTTACCAAATTCTACACATGAATATTTGGCTTGGACCTATGCTACAGATGGTACATAACCTTCTAGGCTCACAGGGAATCAAATTTCTGTCCTTTGATATGGTACATAACCTTCTAGGCTCACAGGGAATCAAATTTCTGTCCTTTGATATGCGTTTAAACCTTGATTTTGTTCTTGTTGACATATGTTTGATCTTATACACCTGCTCCTTTCACCAGGAAGAAGGGAAGAATGGAAAATTTGAAAATTTCTTTTATCAAATTCTATTCATGAATATTTGACTTGGACCTATGCTGCATATGGTACTTTACCATTTAGGATCTCACAGGGAAACAAAATTCTAGCCTCTGATATGGGTTTAAACCTTGATTTGCTTCTGTTCTCATTGACATATGTTTGGTGTAGTCACCTGTACCTTTTGATTAGGATTGCATATCAGATTATGACACACAATTATTTAATTTGTTATGTTTTATCATGAAAATCATGTTAATATGTGTGGGTATTTTCTTAAGAAAAACACATCAGATAATATTTCACGTGTTTTGACATATTGTTAGCATAATTTGCTGTTTAATCTGTTTTTATTTTCTACTTTTATCAGGTTCGCAACTATACTCCGGTTCCATCAATTAACAACAGCATTAAGGTCAGTGGCCTTCTGTGCAGATGTTCAGCATTCAAATGTTGGTAGATTCTCGTACCTCTGCAACTTATGAACTTTTGGGCTAAAAGACTATAGTGATTCATTGGTGATACTATATGTAAAGTGCATTGATTTAAATTTATTTGAAAGGTTCTTGAGGCAAGCTTTCTATCATGCAAAAAAATTTATTAAATAAATCAATAAATTATCAAAATGACAATAATGGAACATTGCTTAATCTTTATGGCTCTGCCATTGGTGCATAATATTTCATGTACAATCACCTTAACAAGTTGACACATATGGAGTTTCAATGAGGGGGAAGTAGAGGGGGGATACAAAGTGTATATAAGTGGTTTAATGTGCATACGTGTTATACTGAGTTATATACACATTATATAGGGCCAAGGGCCAATATCTGTCTTGAAGCCGTGTTCCCGGGACGTATTACGGGGAAACTGACTTATCGGTAGATATCTTGCTCTGTAGACTACAAGGGTGTTTAGGGGGCTTATTGTTTGGTCAAAGCAGTTTTTAAGCGAACTTTTTCATATATATCTGTTTGGTAGTATCCCAAAAAAGCTCTCTTTTCTAGTCTCATTTTAAAAATTAGAATTCTCCAAATTTCAAAGAACTAGCTTATAAGTTCACCAAAATAAGCTAGGTTTGACCAAGTAAATAACTTTTCTACTCACACAATTTTTTAATAAATTTTTTATCATAAAAGCTAATAACGATCAAAGCTAAAATAGCGTAAAAGTTTCTAAAAATAAGCGCCCCAAACACCCTTTGCATCTCAATTTTCCCATAATCTCTAGCCATCGAGCTGATATATCCTTTTATAAGGCTTACCACAAAACAATTTGGTCTCAATATTCTTTACCGCTTTTTAAAAATTTTTGGGCGATATATCCCTGACATGGCTGATATCCATATGTTGGCCGATATATCTTATGGCTTGGTGCGGAACAATATAGTTCTGCAAAATTTCTTTAATACTTTTTAACAAAAAATCCATCCTTTTGAAGTTTTTTTAGCAAAACTCTAGTGGACTCTTTTCTCTAAGTTTTTACAGTTGGTTTGTAATTCTCAACATATGTTATTTACGTTTTCATATGCTTAGCTTTGATTAAGTTATGTTTAGATTACATTTTAGAACATTATAGTATATATGAAAATCGTAAGATGTGGCACTCCGATATTTACTATATATCCCCAATATTTCCTAATATCTGCAATTCGATATGGATTTTGGTTGTCCGATATTTCCCCGATATCCGATAGTTAAAGCCTTTTTGAATTTGTAACTCCTATTTTTTCTCGTGCTGCATTGATGTTAAAATGTGTTTCAATTTTCTTGCACATGCTTTCGGAGAACCTCAATCATACTGGTGTCCCCATCATGTAAAATCAAATTATTTCTATAAAGTGTCAGGGTGAAGCATATATCTTTTCCTCAAATAAAAACATAAGATATATCACATTTTCTTGGGTTCTGGTTCGAGTAGGTTTTCCTTCCATGCTTGTTCAATTCTTGGACAGGCTTTTACAAAACCTACTCTATCAAGTTTCACACAGCTTTTGAAGGCTCTGCAAGCTGTGACCTCTGTATATATATTGGGATAGACTACAGGATTCTCTATGTAGATATCACATGCATGCAAAAGGGTTATCTTTTTAGCGAAAACTTCACCCCAAGCTTTCCTAATGCATACAAGTAATGTACCAAAGAGAAAGTAACCTGAACCCAACTCCGACCCGAGAAAACCAGGATTAGCCTTCGAAACTTTCCCAAATTTCTGGTTGCTGGGTCTAGAAAATACTAAGTCGTAATTGGGTTGGTTTATTTTGATGAAACCACTCACAGCTCAACTTTCTGAGTGCAACATATATCTTCTGCATATACACTATAATCTGAAGATATGTTTACTGTCAATTTCTTTCCTTGTGTGCTTCTGTGAGAAACGATATGGGGTCATTTACATAATTTATGGCTAACAGATGGAGGTCGGAATTGAAGATTGCTTGCATATTGAGTTTGAATACAACAAAAGCAAGTAAGCTCGTTCATATAATCAGACAGAAAGTTTCATTTGGTTATAAACTGCTTACCTAATCACGAGCCTTTTTTTTTTAATTTTTTCTTGCTTTTTTTTTGCCCCTTTTCTAATTTGAGCTCATTCTTATCAAGGTATCATCTGAAGGATGTTATCATTGGCAAGATATATTTTCTTTTAGTAAGAATCAAAATTAAAAATATGGAGCTCGAGATTAGACGTCGAGAGTCAACAGGATCAGGGCCCAATACATATGTTGAGACTGAGACGCTTGCTAAATTTGAGTTGATGGATGGTGCTCCTGTTAGAGGTATGGCCAGTATTAATATTGTATTCTTATTCTTCTTTATCGACCCCTTCTTCATTTAGTTGATGACATTTAATAAAGGGAGAATAATCAACAATGCTAACTCACAACTATTTGTCATCTTCAAGACAGTGACATAATTCTTGCTAAATTCAACTTGTGCTTATTTAATATCTCGCTTTGGACACAGTTATATGAATCAATATGTAAACAAGTCTTCATATGTTTCTATGAAAATATTTTTCTGATTTCAAATACTAATGATTATGGATGATACCATCATTCTGAACATCTGTCTTCTGTGATCCTGAAACTTGCTCATAAGCAATTTCATTTCGTAGCTTCAAGGTCTCATATTGTTTGTTGTGGATGATATTTTCAAAGAAAGGCGATGTATGTTTGTTCGGTTCTGGCTGGTAGCTACAGCTGCTGTGGAAGCCGCGCTATATTTTGACACTTGCAAGCAATGTTAATAGTTAGAGAGGAAACATTTCAGAATGTGGTTGTAGATGCCTTCTGTCTTGGAATAATTGAAAATTTTGTTAATCATATCAGTCTTGGAACAATTGGAAGTTATTTTTATATCTTAATACAATCAGCCTGTGACATATTTTGATGTTATGTCAGTCTCGGATTAATTGATAAGTAATTCCTGGTAGTTCTGTTTCTTACTCATGCAATCAACAGAAGATGCTGCAATTGTTGATCTCTCTTTAAAATCATGATATTCAAGGCCAATGAAGGGTTGAGACCACGGAACTTTTTCAGCCATCATTTTTTCAGAATCACTTTATCTATTTTTGCAGGAGAGTCTATACCTATCAGACTATTTCTAAGCCCATACGAGCTGACACCAACTTATTGCAATATCAACAACAAATACAGTGTAAAATACTACCTCAATCTTGTTCTTGTTGATGAAGAAGACCGAAGGTATTTCAAGCAGCAAGAAATCACCATCTATCGTCTTCAAGAAGCTTGAGGACAACAAGCTTGAGTTCCTTGAAAAGAAGCTATTTTGTTCAAAAATTTCTGATTTGCTTCTTACATTAAAAAATGTTGATTTTGTTAATTTAGGAAAACTTGAGCCTTTTTTTTCCTTGAAGAAGACTGCATCTTCTGTGTTTCTGTACATATTGGAAAATTGCTTGACCTCATCTCGTTTTGCACTGTCTTTATCATGGAGACTGGGTTGTTTATGAATTGAGAGTTTAAATATTGACATCCTCTTACTTATTTCTTGTAAGCATGATTCTTTTCTCTCTCTTTCAAAGCCGGACGTTTCTTATTTTTCATGCGGATTCACAACATTTTTTATTGGGATTATATCTTTTTATATCAAAGCACATAAAAATGTGTGACATGCTGTACGTGTATAAAAATAATGCCTTATTCATTTCTATATTGCAGTTATGCTTTACGTGCATCACAATCATAAAGAGGAGCATGAATTGTCATGGTTCCCTTAAACCATAGATTTGCATTAAGTAGCATGGAAAGTCCATCCACGTTAGCAGACTACTCGGTCTCTGAGGACTCGGTCAAAAGATAAGCATACTTGATTTAGCGACTCTTAGGCCTGACCAACAAGATCGGATAAGCAGCCAAGGCCCATGACAACCAAACTGACCGTTAGTTCGGATACCATGCATTGCTCCAACCTACATTAGAGGAACCTTTCTTCCATCAATGAGGTCATGACACGTGGTTTTACTTGCCCGCCAAGTAACTACCATAACCACTTTGGCTGATAGGAGGGTGACACAAGTATAACCCGATTTGCCCAGGCAAAATCTCTATAAATACGATAACCTTCCTCAGGTAAAAGGATATCCTTCATCTTGATATTAGCGCGACACTGCCGACTTAACCATTTTCTCAAAGGCCTGAACTACATATCATCGTCAATCTAACGTTTTATTTCTGTTACACATGCTACTTTAAGTTCAAACAACATCAGCCATCTAAAACAATCAAGAGGCCCTCACCAACGAGTTCAATGTTGCTAACTCAATCGGCTAGGTTTTACTTGCATCAACACTACAAAAAAGTAAGATAAACATAATGACGAATAGATACGCTATGATAACTCGCTTCATATATTTACTTTCAAAAAAAAAAAGTGAGCACCTAAGACCACATACAGCAGCAGAGCAAATGTGGAAATATCTTGTACAACAGGGAAGCAAAATGGAAAGCAACTGGAGAGAGAACGTTTTGGAGAGCAAAAATTGCCCATGGGCAAATCTGAATATGTGGGTCCCACCAGTGTAAAAAGTCCAAAAAAAAAGTAAAAAAGCCGAGGTGGATGAAATACGGTGGGTATATGATATAGTGATGTGGATGAAAGAGAAAATATGGTAGGGTATAGATAAAGTAAAAAAGTACATATTTGCCTTCCTGCTGTGGAGCTGAAATAAAAGAGGGTGCTAAATATTTAATTGGTGGGGACAAAAGCTGAGGTGGAGAGCAATATTTGCCCTCCTGCTGCTGATGGTCTAAGGAATCTAAATAAAAGAACTTCCGCTGGCAAGTCAGTTGACTTTTGCACACCGCCCAAAAATGGCCCAAACGTTAACAGCTGACCTACTCCCTCCCGTTTCTTTCACGAACCGCGATAAAGTACAAAACAAAATCACAAACGGAGAGAATTGGTCCGACTTTTTGCCCTCCGCCTTCTCCTCGATTCTCTTCTGAGAACTTTCCTCATCAAATCTCGATGGCCGTCGACGAACTCGAATCAGGGTCGCCGCCCGATCGCCGGCCGGATCCGTACGGATCCGTCGTGCTCGGCGGCACGTTTGACCGCCTCCACGACGGGCACCGTCGCCTCCTCAAGGTTTCGTTCGTTAATCCAAATAAAAAAGTTTTTCTTTTTTCCTTCAATTTTGATGATTATGATTTTGTTGTTTAGGCCTCGGCCGAGTTGGCTAGAGAGAGGATCGTGGTTGGGGTCTGCGACGGGCCGATGCTAGTAAAAAAAGAGGTCTCTTTTTTTTCCTAATTCAATAGTTTTCTGCTTAATGAAAAGCGCTTCAATTTTATGGTAATTTTGGTTTAAATTGTGAATGCAGCTAGCTGAGCTGATTGAACCCATTGAGACTAGGATGAAGGCAGTTGAGGATTATATCAAGGTGAGCTAGCTAAAAGAGCTTTTGAATTGGCTCTAAATTGTTGTTATATTTGTTGACCAATTATTTGATGGACGACTTTCTTTGGGATTCCATTAAGATTGGAGCAAAAAAAGGACAAAATTGTCAGGTCTTAATGGGTACTGTACATGTTAGAAGAATACTTAATCACAAGGTTTGGGTAATGGTTAGATAAATTTGGAGCACGCCAATTGATAAGGAGTCCAGAAAAGGGGTGAGTGTTTGGAGTTTATGTGAAAGTTTGTACTGTTTCTCCTACGGGTTGTGTATAAACTTCTAAGCAAAATTATCTTAAGAAGAGGGTTCTAGTTTCCTTACACCATGTTTGGGAATTCACTGAGGGAAGGGAAGTTTAGTAAAGAGGAGGTAAGGTAAAGGGAAGGTGAGGGAAAAGATAAATTTTGTTTGGGAATTTAATAAGGGGAATTCAGGGGAACCTATTTCACTCTGTTTCGGAACTTTAATAAAGGGAAGGGAAGGGAACTTCAAACTCAATCTCAGCCTTGATTTGGGAGGGTAAAGTTGTCGCTGTGGGATAATCTTTTTTCCTTTTTTAATCAGTTCTCTTCCCCTCACTTAGACCCTGATTTGGAGGGGTACAAAATCCCACTATTTTTCACCTCAATTAGCTTAACTTCACGTCTATTACCTCCCTCAAATGAGTCCCCAAACATCGTTTTATGTGGATTCCACTTTGTAAACAAGAAATCTATATACTCTAATGTAATACATGATGTGACACGTTAATGCATGAGGTTAAGAAATTATCTACCTCACAATTTTATTCTTGCTGTGATTCTGAACTGCTTCCCACCTTTACTCTAAAAAAAAATATAAGGTCAGTTTGGCAACCCCAACAAAAACAAGGCCCAAGGGGTATACTCTCTTAACCAGGCTAGAGTTGGACTAGGTAGGGGGTGGTTCAACTCTGACCTGGTTTTGAGGCTAAAAAGTGAACTAAAATAAGCTAGGCCAGAGTGCAATTACCAAACAAAAAACAAGATGAAGTCGGGCCATGTTTAAACCTGACCCAATTTCAGTGAGTTGCCAAACAGCCCCTAATGCTCTTCAATTGTAGTGTTTTTTATTTGATATGCCTTGTGTATAAATTTTTGGAGACTGTTTTGATTTATGCAAGAGCATATATTTGAAAAGATAATTGAATTTACTTTTTCTTAGTTATTTAATTTAATACATGTGTTACTATTAAATTCATTCTTAGCTTTTTTTACACTGTTTCCCTAGCATTTTTTTTCTTTTGGAGTATGTTTCTACACCATTCCTCCAAGTAGACACCTGTAGAGACCCGCATTAAATTGTCTGATAAATGATCAAGTTTTTTTGCCCCTTCTGCGCATTACCCCAATCAAATAAACCAACAACATAATTTCTTTATGTATCAATGAAATGACACATTGTTATGGTTGTCCAACACTGATGACATTTATTTACAAAGCTTGGTAGTGGTAGTTGTATTGTGTTCAGTCCTACACCGCAATTTCTTCTTGCTTACAAATAACAATAGCTGGGCTCTGGAATATGCTACAGTTCATCAAACCAGGGTTGGTTGTGCAAGTGGAGCCCATTATGAATCCTTATGGCCCATCCATAATTGATGACAAGCTAGATGCTATTATTGTCAGGTATATCTTGACTATGATATCATAAATCTCTTGCAGTCTTTTAACTATAATGGCAATTTTTTCCCTTGATATTTTGACCATAACTCTAGTTTTGATGCTCTAGCAAGGAAACCTTGGCAGGTGGTCATTCGGTAAATAAGAAGAGAGCAGAAAAAGGTCTTCCAGAATTGAAGGTATGCAATGCATTTTATACTTCTCGACCATTTATTTTAGTAGTTTAAATGTGATACCATTTATTCTTGATATCAAATTAAGTTGTATAAAATTGATTCACCAAGCTATGAATAAATTGTTGGCAATTACGCCACCCCTTTAATGTCGAATGTTGCATGAACGTTGATAGATTTGGTGGAAGAACGTGACAGATGAATAAATGGATTCTGAAATTTGGATCCCTGTTCGTAGCTGCAGGAAAACAGTTGTAACTGGACCTGCAAAGTTAATTTGGTCCAAATGAGTTTTACCTACCAACGAGAGAGAGTTTGTATTTGATCATTTCTTCAAATTTTGCCATGTAGAGGATTGAAATTTTCAAAAGTTCAAATTTTGATACATATTTGGTAATAAATAAATAAATATTAAAAAAAAAGACTATGGTTTTTAGGATTTCCTTGCCCACACCCTGAGCTTTGGGTTGCCCTAGTCCAATCCAATAAGCAACCCATGCACATTGAAAGCCACCATCATCCTAATAAGATCTTATGAAGTCAAGGATGTCTATTAACCCATGCACATTGAAAGCCACCATCATCCTAATAAGATCTTATGAAGTCAAGGATGTCTATTGATTTAGTCACTTCCTTCGGCAACTCTTATGAAGTCAAGGATGTCTATTGATTTAGTCACTTCCTTCGGCAACATTGTTTGCAAAGCTCGTAGATCATTGAATAAATCTTTCCCATGTATATTACATTGTTGGTTGTGTTCCAGTATCTTTGTAATTTAGTGCAATGTTCCATTAATTTTTCTTCACCAATACTCATGAACTTTGCATTAAACAAAAATCCGAAGGTTTCTTCATAGAGCTTGAATTGTTCAAAATGATCTTTGAGTGATGTAAAAGCTTGATCAATAATGTGGAGGAAATAGGAAACTCTAAAATTATCCTCCGGTGATTGACTACCTTCAACATTCGCTTCCACATCCTCATCAAAATGCTTTTTCTACGAGCCACTCTTTTTATCGGAAATGTTGGATCGATACCAACATCATTAGCAAGTTCATTGGCTTCTTTCATCATGTTTTCAAAACCGTCTTCTCTAAACTTTTCAAAGAAAACAATAAGCTCGTTTATTCTTGTAATTGCATCCTCCAAATTCATCTCTTCTTGTAGAAGAACTTTGTTAACTCGATTGACTTTATCTAAAATCTTATACCAAATACAAAAGCTAATCAAGAACTCAAAAATCCTCCAAAGCATTTTTACACTAGCCTTTAGCTTCTGCCATCACAATGTCCTCTTTAGAACTATTTGCAATTTCAATCAAAACATCTCAACTCCGGTGCTTGATATCCGGATTGCTTTAACACTTTCAACATGACTTTCTCAACGAGTAACTGACAATGGCTTTGGTGTAAGAACCTTTACATATGTTTTAAGAACATCCCACCGATGTGTTGATCCAACAAACAAAATGTAAACCTTTTGCACATATGTAAAAAATTTCTAGCTTTGACACAAGATTTTGTCATATCGCATAATGTAAGATTTAAGCTATGGCACCCACATGGTGTATAAAATGCTCGAGGATTTATGTCAAGAAATCTTCTTTGTACACTTTGATGTTTATCTTTCATATTTGACCCATTGTCATAACATTGACCTCTTATATCATCAGTGTTGAGATTAAGTTTATTCAAAGTATCTTCAAGTTGATTGAAAAGCCTAAGTCCCGACGTGTCATCAACCTTTATAAATCCAAGAAAAAACTCTTCCACCTTGACTTGATTTGTATCTTTAATATCCACACATCTAATGATAATTGACATTTGTTCCTCATGGCTTAAATCCGGCGTACAATCAAGAATAATTAAAAAATACTTTGCTTTTGAAATTTTGTCAAGAATTTTTGCTTTGATCTTATTGGCTAACAAAATTATCAATTCATTTTGAATTTTATGGCTAAGATAATGGCTCTGAACTTCTTTATCTACCACACGCCGAACATGATCTTGCATAATTGGATCGAATTCTGCACAGAACTCTATAAGTTGACAAAAAAGTCCGTTCTTCTTCTCATAAATCTTCTCATAAATCTTCTCATTAGTTTCACGAAATGGCAAACCATTTCGATAAAGAGTCTTCACAACCGTAATGATTCGAACTAGTATCATCTTCCAACGAGTTTTCTCTTTGTCAATTTGTACTTCTATATCTTTATCAATCGTTGCCTTTAGTTTTAGTCCTTTTTGCAAGTCAACCCACTTCACAACATTTGCACAATGCTCCGGATTACTTTCATGCTCTCTAAGCTTTGTACGAAGGTTATGCCAACCGTCTATTTCATTCTCCGCCAAATTTGCTTATCATTGGTTTATTCTTGAACAACTTGCAACAAAAACAAAATACCCTATTCAGTTCATTTGAATAGATAAGTCATTTTCTTTCATGCTTCTCGTCATTTGGAAATTCACGGATGTAATATTTGGAAGAAAAACTTGTATTTCTCCCGCTCTTCTTTTCACTTGGAAACTCATCATTTTTCTTTAAAATCTTGATAGGACCACGTTGAACTATCATCATCTTTTCACTTGGAAACTCATCATTTTTCTTTAAAATCTTGATAGGACCACGTTGAACTATCATCACCCTCTTAGTATCATTTATACTTCCCCACAATCCCGGATCATAATTTACTTCCACATCTTTCTCAAGATCAAGTATGCTTTCATGATATTTACTAAAAGCTACTTCATTGTCATTTTCGTCCACATGAACATTTTCATTCATAGTCTCTTCATGATCTTCATCACTAGCTTCCTCATTGCGACTTCCATCGCATAAGTGACTTCATTCATGGGCTCCTCAATGACCTCATCTATATTTTCACTAATATTGGCAGTGACACTAGCTTCTTCAACTTGACTCGAATGAAGAGAATGTTGTGTTTTTGCTTTGAATAGCTTAGAAATTGAGTCATCTAGTGATTTTTCCATTTCATCTTGACGTCGCTTGACTCTTCTATTATGAGCTCCAGAGTTTTGTTTTCTAATCCTTACTCGGTTTTTGTCATCTCCGTCATGGTGTACTGTGGTCTGTAAATATAATTATATAACATATATGAAAGCACAATCAGCTAAACTTAGGCTACTTAACAATATCATTATTATTAAAACAAACCCTAACTTCATTCCAAAACATCATAATCCCTAATTCAATTATTCAACAACTAAGATTCAGCCAAGATTCAAAATTAGAAATCTTAATTTCATTGCAAAACATCAAAACCCTAAATTTCTATTCAAAAAAACCCTAAAATTATTTAGTTAAAAAAAATTTACTTGATTGAGTTGGAGGAGTAAGCAGGGTGAAGCCCGAAGGAAGGGTCCGATGGGAGCAGAGTAAGGTCGGACCGTCGGAGGCTCGGGAATGAGGAGAGGAGCGGTTTCTTCTCTTTAGTTTTTTTCTTTTTTTTTGTGAGCGGAACAGAGACGGGAAGGAAGAGAGGAAATGCTAACGGAAATAAAGGAGTTGGATAGGTCATTAGAGTTTTTTTTACAAATAGAACCCCTAACAATTTTTGTATAAAGGGCCTCTTACAAAGTCCACTTCAAAAATCAAAGATAATTACAGTTTGAGGGGTGAAGGAGCGGGTTGCCCCCTGGCCCTGGGTTGCCCCAGCCCCGGGGCTTGGTGGGCTTACCCCAGGGCCGGCCCTGCCCACTACTGAACTTTGGCATTACAGATGAGGTTTGTGGCAATCTTGAAGAGCTTGTGTACTAGGCTGTGAACTTTAGATTTAGAACTAGCACATACATGTGTATTTATAGGTGACAAAAATTCCTATCGTAAAAATCTCATTTGGGACGCTAACAAATGAGAACTTTGGCAAAAAATTCCTTGAGAATTTACCAATATGATGTGAGGTGCAAGCTCACTGATAAAATCTGATGAGTTTTTGAAAGGGTTCTAGCACAAAAGAAGTCATGCTCCTGATAAAACAAGCCTAACTTCACAACTTTTGTTGTAACTATTAATGTAGGCATAAAAGCCTAGTTGTCACCATTAATGCATGTAGAATTTCTCCTATTACTGTCAAAGTAAAAACCGATTACATTTTAGAGAAAGAGGCTCAACCTTTATATATACGTCAGAAATTATCATGTTTGTTCTTGAAGAGGTTTTATGAACTGTTGTCATTGCAACAATGTTGATATTGTACTATTTTTGGATATATTAGTATGTCAGTCTTGACCATAGGCTATTACTCAAGGGATTCGGGGTTATATAGATAAAAATGAAAACCAGCTTGAATACGTTTAATGTAAAAAATAAAAAATAACTTGAAGGGGAAATTATAGAAAAATCCACCTAAAGTTTGTAGGATTATAAAGCCTTTCAAAAGTGAGTTTAGCCCCTGTTTTAATTTCTAAAAAAAAATTGTACACAAAAACTGTGGTCACAGGATATAACACTTATTTGCATTTTCATGTTTAAAATGTATAATATTTTATATTGGAAATTGACGATTATGTCGGACATTGATGATTATTTGTCGAGAACTGAAACTGAGGTTAAGTGTCAGTTTTAAAATCTTATGGGAATTTTCTGTAATTGACCCTAATGAATAGCGAAGGCACTGCCAAAATTCAGCAGAGGCACTATTAAAAAAACAGAAGAAGGAAGTTCAATTTGAGGGTGTGCATGTGCACATCAGTTGTATGTAGCTCCCCTTGTATGTCAGGGCAAATGTTTCGGATTTACTCAACCAAAAGGAAGAACCAATAGCAGTTTGTTTGTTCTTATTTATTTCTCCCCTCTTAATGAACTATTGTGTCCTTGTAGGTGGAAGTTGTTGATCTTCTGCCAGAAGAAACAAGCGGGGAGAAGCTAAGCTCGTCTGCTTTAAGGAGGCTTGAGTTTGAGAGCTCAAAGCAATCCAAAGAGCAGCCCATAGCAAAGCATGAAAATAACAACGAAGAAGAGGAAATGAAACTGATTCTTCATTAATGATATCTTCTTTAAAGTCTCCATAGCCACAGGACTGACCTCGTACCAGCAAACATGCACACAAGTGAGTGATGAAGCCTTATGCTTGTGACCGATGTGGTTTTGTGATTTAATATATATTTGATCCTTGGAGTCGTCATTCAATTGCCTATCATAGTGCCGTTGTATAATTTCTTATCCTACGTCGCTTTCATCACGGGTAACAAAGTGCATGATACCTATCAGAGTTCAGGATTGGTTGAAACTGTAATTTTTCTTCGTCATTGAAGCTTGCAAAGTTTGCAGGTATCTTGCCATTCTTTGAGAAACTATTTGTTTTATGTATATTGACACTCTCTGTAACTTATCAATCATGTTTGAGTTTCTGTTATTCTCTACTTGTTCATACTGGACAATATCGAAATGCATGAATGTATTTTGATGAATATGTATCATTTCTATTTGAAGGTTATTGCCCGTGAAGAAGAGGTGTGAAAGTATACAATGATCCCTGTCTATAGCCATTAATGATACATCAAGAAATAATAAGCTCTTATTAATGAACCAGTCCGTTGTAATGCATTAATACTTGGGTATTTGAAGATCATAAGCAACAGAGGGGTGGTGGCGCAGTTGGCTAGCGCGTAGGTCTCATAGCTGCTTGAGTTATCCTGAGGTCGAGAGTTCGAGCCTCTCTCACCCCAGTGCCTTTTTTCTGAATTTTTTCCCTCAACGGGTACTGTTTCAGAGTCGGATGATCCGACCCAATAGAAATCCGTTAGCCCTCCTATGTACACCTTCATCCATCGCTTGTTATTTCTCGACCAATTTCATTTCCACTGTGTTTGGGAGAAAGTTGATATATAGGGAAAGGAAAGATAGGAAGGGTTTCCACAGTGTTTGCGAGAAGGAAAGGAAAGTTGAAATAGGGAAAAAGGAAAGATAGGAAGGAGGATAAATATAATATTTTGTTTAGAAGTTTAGTAAAGAAAATAGAGGGAAACTTAGTTTATCATATTTGAAAGGAAAAGAAATAGTTGTATAATCAAATCTTAGTCATTGATTCATAGTGATAAAGAGCTAAATATTAGATCTTTTAAGTGTACTTTCGCTACCTTCCTCTATACTCTAGTTTGGAAGGGAACAAAACCATATGTTTTTATAAAAGCTAGCTTTTATGCACGTGCAATGCATGTGGTCAAATACCATGATTAAATATTTTTGGTTTATTTTCTTACTAAAATTTGCCTATTTGTTCCACTTTGGTAGTGTTTGCTCACTTATGTTTCTAAACATTAGCATTGTAATTATTTATCTTTTTTTATGTTTGTTTGAATGAGCTACATCTAATTTGAATTTTCATGTTGATAATGGAATTGACACGGAAAAATGTAATCCGAAGCCAATTTAAATTTTCATGTCATCCAACATAAAACTAAGTTTGATCTAAGAATCTATAGCATTGCAAAAGTAAAAAAAAACACTTGAAAAAATAGCATTATAAAAGAAAGATGAATAATTAAAGCCAATAAGTCAAGATGATTTATTACAAGTGGGCAAAACGACAGAAAAGAGACTATGAAGCTTGTTCCTAATCATTGATAGACTTCATAAAAAATCATAAACTAAAGATAAATGCTAATTCTAGTATACTTTTATATAATAAAAGCATCCACACAAGTATATAAAAGTACTAAAAAGGTTCATAAAAATCCATTCGAAAGATTCTTAATTCCTCTACTAGGTATCCAATAAGAGTTTCTGCTGCGTCAAATAATATTACATTTGCTTAGGCTGTGTCATTTTCCATCAAGATCTGAACCAAATGCCTGCTTTTTTCCTTACCGATTTGCCTTAGATTTTAGTGTTAATATTTAATATTGATATGTTTATCACATGAAAAGGGGATATTACTTAACCTTGGTACTAAGTCATTGGTGATTCTGCAATATTTATCATTTGGATACTCATTATTCACATCTCTATTCACATTCTTGTTGCAGTTTTTGCAAGTAGAGAACCACGACTCAACTATATTGTAAATGATAGTTATTTTTGCCTTAAAGGATCAATAACATGTCTGTATATTGGTAAACTATAGTTAGGTTAAATTTGTGTGAATTTTAGAGTAGGTTTTGTAAGATCATCTCTCTTTTGATGTTATGGTGGTTGCATATGTCAGTAATTTAATTTTTTGTTATATTTGTAAAGAGCTTTGATAAAGATGTTTTTGTCTTGGCAACTTGTTCTGAATGAGCCTTGTTTATTAGCTTTAAAACATAATATTTTTTCTTTATTGTGTTATATGGATATTCGCTTTGTTTACTTACCATTTTCTTATTTCTTCAATAAGTTGTATCTTTGGGGTGATAAATATTGTTGATGCAATTTATGATGACATGCATGTCTTCCCTATAAATTTGACATAGATATAATGTAAACTTTATGTTTAGTGACATTTAATAAGGATTTTAGTAATGAAAAATGTTACCTGCATATTTAGAGATTTTGAAATCTGATAATGATATTACATGTTTATTTTTTTTATCATATCTTTAAGAACTTATCCTTCATTGGTAGGCATATCCCTAAATAAAGTTACATATAAAGTTGTGCCACTGTATAGGTAAAAGAAAAATATCGATTTTAAATTTTTTTTGCTTACGATATTATGAATAAGTATTATATGTATACATTTTGTCTATTACAGTGATTTTCCACCTCATATCTGGCTTGTTATATCTCGTGACATAGTTGATAAATAGTTTCACATTAATTTCTATTGCTAGATTATTTATATGTAATTTTATTATCAATTTATAATTCCTTCAATATTTGAAGAATAAAGTATGCAAATTTATAAATACTTACTAATTTTTCTTGTATCTACCTTGGTGGATGTTTTTTGATCAATATGTTCTTCAAGGAGAACTCAATCTGTGCTTTGATAGATATGTCTTTTGTCAATGTCAATTCAAATGATTCATGGATGCTTTCAATTTTTGCGTTTATTTCTTTCATTTCTCCAATTCAAGTGATTCATGGATGTTTCTTTGATTGAGACAAAGTTATTCAATGTATTAATGAAAGAACATCAAACAATTATACATTTCTTTGCTAAGTTTTGAACTTTCAGTCTTCTTTGTGATTTGAACTTTTGAATGTGTGTTTTCAATTTTCAAAACTTTTATAGTGTTTTTAAAAAAATTAAATTTTAAGTTGTGTGCTTGTAATTTTAATGTTTCATGTGTTGGTGGTAAGTTTTTAATTGTCAAGATATTTCTTGCAACTATAAAATTTTAAGGATATTTTTTGCAATTATTAAAACTTTAGATTATTTTTTGTAAAATTTAAATTTTTAGCAATTTACTGATAATTTTCATATTTGATGTGTACTAGTTATAAGTTTTAAAATTTTAGGGTTTTTTTATAATTTTTGTAACTTTGAGGCTTTGTTTCAAATTATAAATTTGTAGGAGCCTGGTGGTAATCCATTGGATTCATTTATATTGTTTGTAAGTTTTAAAATTTCAAAACTTTAGGATGTTTATTTGTGAATTAAACTCTTGAGGGCGCTTCTACTATTTTTGAAATGTTGAGGGTGTTAAGTACAAATTTAAGATTCTTAGAGGGTTGTTGTTTATTTCCAAATTTTATGTTTGTTGTGTAAGTTTTGAAAAGTCAGGTTAGTTTGTGTAATTTAAAAATTTTTGATGGTATTTTGTGCATTTTTTGAAAATTTTTAGGCTTTATTGTAATATTTTCTGTTTAACATATGTTAGCTATGTATGATTTCTTTACCTTAACAAACTAATACTGTGGAGTTGTTTCATATATTTTGTTAATCTTAATTTTTAAATTGTTTATCTATAGTTAGTTTACATGGGATTAGTATATGATATAATTAAGATTAGGATAGAGTAAGATTTAAATAAAATATTTAAAATATTAAAGGGTAATATTGACTATGGAAAATTTTTCTCAAACTCGTACTTTTAGGAGTACTAGTTTTCATGCACGTGCATTGCACGTGATTAAATATTATTATTTTTTCTTTTTGATCTATTTCCTTACTTAACTGAGGTTATGAAATATTGCTTTATACCTGGCTTTGACTATTTCACATAACTGGAGATATACTCATGTCTTTAAATTTTTTTTAATGTGTATCAAATTCCTCTTTATTTAAGTGCCCTTCTCCATCCCATTCGATTAGTTTTGCAATTCAAAAATTTTTTAGCTTAACTACCTCAATTATATATTCTCTCAAGACTCATTTATTTCTTAGTACATAGTGGCTAGTGACATTCTAATGGGATGCAGTTATTCTCGTTCAAACCTATCAAAATAATTACAAGTGGTGAAGACCCTAAATCTTTTGAAATTATATATAGCCTGCAGCTTGGTGCTCCATGAAGAATTGTTGGAGTATCGGTGGCATATCTGTAAATAAATTCCTTAAAAATAGCTCTCACATCTCTATATTGATAGATTTGACGGTTAGGAGGTGTTCCACACCCAAAATTATAATTAACTATAATTTCAATTAGGTAAAAAGATTATTTTAGGAAATACAATTTAGGAGAGAAACAGAATTTATGATTAGTTAGAATTCTCCAAGTAACTAATATTTCATGTTATAATTTTTATCGTGTTATCATGTAACGCTTCACACTTTCCATAAGAAAAAAAAGCTCCACACTTTCCATTAAAGCAAATTTCTTCGCGAGGATCCTCCAAAAATTCTCGTGAAGAGAAGCACTATGAAAGATACCCCCATCTTTTTCCTTTTTAAAAGATGACACATGAACACATGACCATGGTGCAATATTAAAGACTTTTTGTTTAAGTTCATAGTTCAAAGAGTCGTAAATTCCATCATCTAAGACTTAAAAACTATACAATGTTGAACTAGTAAATTGATGTGATCTACCCTATGGAATTGTTTGTGATACAACTATAAACTTTTATTGACTTTCTTTGAAAGGAAAAAAATAAAGTCACAATCACATATATTTAAGCGATTAATTTTGGAGTTATAATTTTATTTTTCTTGTACTTATTTTTTATATTTAATTGAAATGCAAAAAATGTTAGAGAGGAGTCTATTGGTATTTATTGCAATCCAACAAAAATATTCAATATCGTAAGTGGCTTAACAGATGTACAAAAACAAGCGATAGTGGATATGGGTTTGGGAGGTATTTTATATATTCATAATATTAGAATGCATCATTGCTTTTGTTATTGGTTAATGATTAAGGTAAATATAGAAACACGTATAATTAAAATAAGAGATTGCGAGGTGTCATTTTTAGAAAAGGATGTCGTTTGCTTGATGGGATTACGTGTTGAAGGTGATATTGTTATGCTTTGCAATGAAAGTGT